TGAGGGGCCCCCAGAATAAGGCCGTGACGGTCTCCATGCAAACAGTGAAGTTGTCTCCTCTGCAGGGGGAAGAGGGGAATCCAAAGTCACAACAGGGTTAGCACAAGTCAGTTGCGATGGCACTTTCCACTACTGCCTTACAATACTGTTAAGGATCACCAGAACAATGTGTATGCAATATTTTGAAAACCGAAAAGTATCGTGCAAATGTCTTTTTCTGGCCTTCTAAACACGCTACACGTACATCATGAGAAACCTTTAATTGCGAACAGTGTTTTGATTTGATTTATTGAATTTCTTCCCTGCCCTCCCGGCCGAGGCCGGCTCTAGAGGTGTTCCCTCTAAGCTGAGTTAGTGTGAGCTAGCTCACAGGTTTTTAGCCCCCGGCTCACACATTTTCGTCTTAGCTCAGGAAGGAGGGCTCCGGAGCAAACTAATTGATGCGGTAGTCGTATCACTCACTCACAACTTTAATGCCAGTAGCTCACAAAGTAGAATTTTTGCTCACAAGACTCCACAGCTTAGAGGGAGCATTGATTGTGAATACACAAACCCTTACATTTCTAGGGGAAAGTAGTGTCCTATGCATCAGAGACCACAAAGGCCACGTTTTGCAACAGAGAATCATCCAGGGAAATGAAGAGAAAGAAGGCTAGGTGAGCTGCAATTATACTTAAAAGGCTTTGCTTGAGGCATTCACTGGGCCATGGCCCCTCCCCTGACTGTCTTGAACACATGAAGCTGCCTTATACTGTATCAGAACATTACTCCATCAAGGCCAGTATTGCCTATTAAGACCTGCAGAGGCTCTCCAGGGTTTCAGGTCTAAGTCTTTCAGGTCCCTTAAATCCTGATCCTTTTAACTGACTGAACCTGGGACCTTCTGTATGCAAAGCAGAAGCTTTTCTGCTGAGTATCCGCTTCACGTGTAGGAACTTGCTGTGCCAGAAATGAAGGATATTGGAACATCCTAGCACAGATTAACACTCAGATATCTGTCCACTCTTTGCAATGACAACAAAGGTTTACCCATGAGAAGCTAAGAAACTGCAGGATAAATAGGGCCCACTTTAGTGGGAAGGTAACAGCATTCCGTGCGCCTTGGTGTTTAGTCATGCCGGCCACATGACCACGGAAACATCTTCGGACAGCGCTGGCTCTTCGGCTTTGAAACGGAGATGAGCACCGCAACCCTAGAGTCGGATTCGACTGGCTTTCAAGCAAGGGAACCTTTACCTTTTTATTCCTGCTTTAAGAACAGCATCCCTCTGAGAATGCAAAACAAAGCTGTTCACCTCTATCAAATTCAGCAATGAAGAAAGCCAATTCAAAACAGTTCTATTACTGTGTACTGTAAAGTGTCGCTACAAATATTACGTACCACCTTTCCCCCTCTGACAGAGCCGAGCATGACTTGCCAGAAAATGCGCAAGAAGGGAGTCAAAGGTTGCTTTCCTTTAAAAACAAACCACCAAAGCATCAAGAGAGAGAAAAAAATATGCCCAAGCATCTCTTTTGTAGTACCGACTTACAGCACTTGGGGCTCTCTGTGCCCATACGAAGGCCATTTTCACAAAGGTTGTTTTCCCCGAGTTCAGTGCTGTTGGACAGCCATTATTTTTCCAGTTTAGTGTAGTGGTTAAGAGCGGCGGACTCTAATCTGGAGAGCCGGGTTTGATTCCCCATGCCTCCACATGCAGCCAGCTGGGTGACCTTGGGTCCGTCACAGTTCTCTCAGAGCAGTTCTCTCAAGAGCAGTCCTCCAAAGAGCCAGGTTGGTGTCGTGGTTAAGTGCGCGGACTCTAACCGGGTTTGATTCCCCACTCCTCCACTTGCACCTGCTGGATGACCTCGGGCAAGCCATAGTTCTGATAAGAGCTGTCCTTGAAAAAGAGCAGTTTCTGTCAGAGCTCTCTCAGCCCCACCGACCTCACAGGGTGTCTGTTGTGGGGAGGGGAAGGGAAAGGAGTTTGTCAGCCACTCTGAGACACCTTTGGGTAGTGAAGGGCGGGGTATAAATCCAATCTCTTCTCTTCTTCTTCTTCCCAGCCCCACCTACCTCACAGGGTATCTGTTGTGAGGAGAGGAAGGGAAGGGGATTGTAAGCCGCTCTGAGACGCCAAGTGAAGGGTAGGATATAAATCCAACTCTTCTTCCCCACAGTATTGTGTTACATTCAATACACCCCCCCAGGGGTCTCCCCAATCCCTCATAAACTGCTTTGCTCCAAGGTTTTGGGAAACATCAGAGCAAACCCTGGACAGCTGCTGTGTGGGTCACGAAAATTCAGATTTTCCCTAACCTGCCCGTACAGCAGAGGGCATTGGATAAACGTGTGGAGCGGAAGTCCATCAGTGGCTATTAGCCACAAGGTATAGATGGAACACTGTGTCTGAGCGACTGATGCTCTGTGTTCTTGGTGCTTGAGGGGGGACAACAGTAGGAGAGCTTCTGGAGTTCTGGCCCCGCTGGTGGACCTCCTGATGGCCCCTGGGTTTTGGTCACTGTGTGACACAAGAGCGTTGGACCAGGTGGGCCATTGGCCTGATCCAACATGGCTTCTCTTATGTTCACAGCAGTCATTTCCTCCCCCTGCCATGGGAGGAGCATTTTTTTTAAAAAAAGAACAGCAAATGAATATTGTTACCTCAATGTAACGTTATAACAATATGTGTAACAGACTCTCTGAACTTCTGGCATTCATTTTTTAAAAAGTCTCTAGTGCTTTTCATTGCAGAGATATAATGGGAAAGGCAGAGACCTTTTTTTTTAAAAAATCAAAAATGAAAGCTAGGAATTCAGAGAATCTGTTAAACATATTGTTCTACCAATATAATAATATTCAATTGACAATTTAAGGGGGAAAGGAAAAATCCCTGGTGATGCAAACAGCGTGGGCTATTGCTGGGTAACCAGGGCAGGGATACTCTAGGGAAACCCGCCCCACTGCTTTTGTACTGTACCGGCAGGGTCAGCAGCAAAAACGACACATGCCTGTCCCCGTGACTGTGCAGAAGGCACCTAACTGTGAAGAAGCAGTAGCGCTTTAAGAGAAGAGGGGGGAGAATGTATGGAGGGGCTCAGGGCTCTTTTTGTAGCAGAAACTCCTTTGCATATTAGGCAACACACCCCTAATGTAGCCAATCCTCCAAGAGCATACAGTAGCCCCTGTAAGAAGAGCTCTGTAAGCTCTTGGAGGATTGGCTACATTAGGGGCGTGTCGCTTAATATGCAAAGGAGTTCCGGCTACAAAAAGAGCCCCGCGAGGGGCTGCAAATAAAAGTTTTTACAGTTCTGTACCCTTTTTGCCCTCCCATCTGCAAAGGCCTCCGCCATACAGCTGAAGACTGAGGCCCCAGTTCCTAGTCTCCCTATTATAAACCCACATCACCACACTGGTCATAGAATTCATAGAGTTGGAAGGGACCTCCAGGGTCATCTAGTCCAACCTGCTGCACAATGTGGGAAATTCACAAATACTTCCCCCCACACATACCCACCCAGTGACCCCTGTTCCATACCCAGAAGATGACAAGAAACCTCCAGAATCTCTAGCCAAACTGGCCTGGAGAAAAACTGCTTCCTGACCAATGCTCCCTGCAAGCTGTGCAAAAACTCTACTCTGTGTGCTCCTGGCATTAAAGTGGTGAGCGAGCCATTTGGCTACTGCATCAATTAGTTGGCTCTGGAGCCGTCCTTCCTGAGCAAAGTCAAAAATGTGTGAGCTGGGGGCTAAAAAAACTGTGCGCTAGCTCACACCAACTCAGCTTAGAGGGAACACTGTTCCTGACCCCCAAAGTGGCGATCGGCATTTCCCTGGGTGAGTAAGACAGGGCCACAAGAACTACGCACTGATGCAACCCTTCCTGCCCTCCCTCTCATGATCTGCCTAAGTTCAGAGATGGGGCACAGTGGGTATATCCCACTGTCTTAACATCCAAACTATGTTAGTTCGAGCCCCGCGCTGGTGTGAGCAGCCAGCTTGTTGTCCCCAGCTCATCGTCCACCCAGCGATTCGAAAGCTTCGACGAGTAGATAAAATAGAGGGTGGGCACACCAATCTCCCTTGTGGGAGGGTGTTAGCTGACGGTCGGGACGTCCTGGTCATGGTTCGGAAAAGGCAGAAAAACTTCTCGGCTACAAAAATCCCTGCAGTGGATGTTTCCGGCCAGGCGGTGGCAGTGTGGCGATTTGACATACGGGTCCTGAAGCCTGGTCGACAAGCAGCCGTTCGGAAAATGACTGAGCCAAGCCAGAAGACGTTTACACCGTGCAGTGACAGCGTGTGCAATTAAATGAATATATGTTGTCTTCCCTATCCCCAATGAACATTGGTAGTCCCCTGTCTAAAATGTGTAACTGTACATCGCTTTGAGCCCACTGGGGAAAGCGATCAATAAATTGAAAGTATTATTATTATTATTACATCGCCTCCCCACCCAACCCAGCATATCCCAAGACGACTTACACAGCTGTGAGAGAAAGGACTGGTCTCCTGGGATCTCTGTGTGGTAGAGGCTGAACCAGCCCTCGATGACACCATGAATGAAACCACAGACCATGAACCAGCAGAGGGCCAGGGAGCGCCACACCCCAAAGGGGGCGTCCTTCCGGTTCCACCATCCCACCGCCAGCCAGGTCAATGCCAGGATGGCCCCCGACACGGAGAAGAGGAAAGTCAAGATCTGCCACATGGGGCGGTCGTTGGGGATGTAGTGTTGGAGCTCCAAGTCTCGAGGCCAGTAGGGGTGGGGGGCGGCGACAGGTTTCGCTTCCAGACCCATGGCAGCTGAGGAGGAGGAACAAAGTGGGCTCCCAAGACAGAGAAGCGATGGACCACCTACAAAGAGAAGGACAGCGTTGGTAATTGTAACATTTTGTCCCTTTAGAATCATAGCGTTGGAAGGTACCTCCGGGGTCATCTAGTCCAACCCCCTGCTCAATGCTGGAAATTCACAAATACACCAGCAATGACCCCTGTTCCATGCCCAGAAGATAGCAAACAAAACCTCCTTTCCAAGACACCTGTAAATGCACCTCTTTCCCGTGGTCTGAGGTGACGTGTGCTATGCTTAAGGTGGCCAACCAGGTGGTGGCTAGATATCTCCTGGAATGACAACTGGCCTCTGGGTGACAGAAATGAGTGCCCCTGGAGAAAATGGAGAAAACCCTAAGCCTTGAAAGCTGGATCCAAGTCTCGAGGCCAGTAGGGGTGGGGGGCGGCGACAGGTTTCGCTTCCAGACCCATGGCAGCCGAGGAGGAGGAACAGTAGTAGGCTCCCGAGACAGAGAAGCGATGGACCACCTACAAAGAGAAGGACAGCGTTGGTCATTGTAACGTTTTGTCCCTTTAGAATCATAGCGTTGGAAGGGACCTCCAGGGTCATCTAGTCCAACCCCCTGCTCAATGCTGGAAATTCACACATACCCCCCCACACCCGCAATGACCCCTGTTCCATGCCCAGAAGATAGCAAACAAAACCTCCTTTCCAAGACCCTTGTGTGTAACACCTGTAAATGCACCTCTTTCTAGTGGTCTGAGGTGACGTGTGCTATGCTTAAGGTGGCCAACCTCCAGGGGGTGGCTAGAAATCTCCTGGAATAACAACTGGCCTCTGGGTGACAGAAATCAGTGCCCCTGGAGAAAATGGAGAAAACCCTAACCCTTGAAAGTTGGTCTCTGTGGTATTACATCCTGCTCAAGTCCCTTCCTTCTCCACCTCAAACCTCACCCTGAGAATACAAGAACATAAGTGAAGCCATGTTGGATCAGGCCAACGGCCCATCCAGTCCAACACTCTTGTGTCACACGGTGGCCAAAGCCCAGGAGCCATCAGGAGGTCCACCAGAGGCTTTATGAACTTAAGAGAAGCCATGTTGGATCAGGCCAGTGGCCCATCTAGTCCAACACTCTTGTGTCACACAGTGGCCAAAGCCCAGGTGCCATCCAGAGGTCCACCAGCAGGGCCAGAGTCTAAAAATCTCCAGGAGTTTCTCAAACTAGAGTTAGCAACCCTACTTACGTTGCCTCCCTTAGCATTTCCTAACTATCTTCACTGCCACCAAAGGAACTTGCCTTAGACCTCTTAGTTTAACTCAAAGAACAAGATGCTTTAGTTATATCTGGTAAAATGACGGAATACTCAGCTCATGGGATTGCTCTGAGGCAAAAGGGGATCTTTTACTCTAAATAAAAGAGCTGTTTTCTCTTAAACATAAATAAGTAGAAACACAGCCCTGACTTAGAGGGCCCAGGCCAGCCCAATCGCGTCAGATCTTGGAAGCTAAGCACGGTCGGCCCTGGTTAGTATTTGGATGGGAGACCACCAAGGACGTCCAGAGTTGTGACAGAGAGGCAGGGAATGGCAAACCATCTTGCCTTGAAAACCCCATGGGGCTACCGTAAGTCAGCTATGACGTGACAGCAAAACCACAAATAATAATTAATAATTATTATCACATGGCGTGGTGTGTAGAATAGCCAGGAGACCCTAAGATTGTCTGCCATCCAGAAGTTCTAGCTCTTTATCGTTATGCACCACTCGGTGGCCAGCTAGACTTGTTTTTTAAGACATCATGTTCCAGAGGTGGTTTGCCACTGCATGCCTCTACATCACAGCCCTGATATTCCTTGGAGGTTACCTTTCCGAATACTAGCCAGGGCTGACCCTGCTTAGCTTCCAAGATCTGATGGGATCAGGCTAGCTTGGGCTATCCAGGTCAGGGCTGGCAAAAACACAACAACCGTGTAATGGTTTCAGTATGGCTCACAAGCGTAATGGTTTCAGATAGGTACGGTCCTTTTTTTCTCTGAAGTTCCTTAAACAGAGCTAGCTGCAAAGGCGAATAACTCCCACACAGACTCCACTCACTCTCTTCAGCACTTCCCTCCACTTTTATTTATTTAATTTACTTCTTTATATCCCGCCTCCCTCCCCAACGGGGACCCAAAGCAGCCTACGTTGCCCTCCTCTTTGCCATTTTATCCTCACAACAGCCCTGTGGCCCAAGGTCACCCAGCAAGCTTCCATGGTGGACCGAGGATTCAAAGCTGGGTTCCCCAGATCCTACTCCGACACTTTAACACAGAGGTGTCAAACATGCGGCCCAGGTGCCAGATCAGGCCCCCGGAGGGCTTTCTACCAGGCCAGCAGTGGAACTGGCTGTCTTCTTCTTCCAGTTCTGCTGCTGCTGCGTCATCTTAGTTTTGCAGCCTACAGACACACCTGAACAGCCTACTCAAGATTGCAACAGCACAGACATTTTAATGCAATAATTCAGAGCAAGAGGTGTCAGTTATCAGACAGTGTTAAATAAACAAAATACTGCAAGAGTGCTAATGTTTTAAGCATGTTTTTATTTGAAGTAAAAAAAACCCTTTATGTTTGTGTTCTTTATCAAGTTTATATCTCCACTACCTGGCATTACATTTCATGACACACATGGCCCGGCCCATCAGATCGGTCAGATCTGGCCCTTATAACAAATGAGTTCGACAGCCCTGCTTTAACCTCTTTATCCACTCAACTCTCCTCACCTTCTCTCCCCCACACCAGTGTTCCCTCTAAGCTACCACAGCTTAGAGGGAACATTGCCCCACACACAGTTTCTCTCTAAGCCCAGTCAACTCTGCCTCCTGGGTTACAGCTAACCTTAGTGCTGCCAACTCCCGATTCAAAAATACCTGGAAATTTGAGGGTGGCGTCTGTGAAAGTGGGGTTTAGAAGAAGAAGAGATTGGATTTATACCCCGCCCTTCACTACCCAAAGGAGTGTCAGAGCAGCTTACAAACTCCTTTCCCTTCCCCTCCCCACCACAGACACCCTGTGAGGTAGGTGGGGCTGAAAGAACTCTGACAGAAATGGGTCTTTTTCAAGAACAGC